TGGACAATGTTTACTGTGATTGGTCGACTGTGAGTATTATAGGTGGACAATGTTTACTGTGATTGGTGGATAGTGAGTGTTATAGGTGGACAATGTTTACTGTGATTGGTGGATAGTGTGTATTATAGGTGGACAATGTTTACTGTGATTGGTGGACAGTGAGTATTATAGGTGGATAATATTTACTGTGATTGGTGGATAGTGAGTATTGGACAATGTTTACTGTGATTAGTGGACAGCGATGACTGCACAAGTTGGAGAGTGAGTGTTAAAGATGGGAAGTGTTTTACATTATAGGTGAGCAGTAGGTATTTTGGACCAGTGGGTGTTTACTGTGCTGGATGGACATTAACGGCTGGTGTTTACTGTAATAGGTGAAGAGTTGTCCATCTCTGCGCAGTGGTCTACATGCAGCTGTACGCCCGCTCAGTGAGTTGAACAGAGAGGAGTGTAGAGCAGTAAGACAGCGCCACCAATTCTAGTCCGTGTTGTCAGCGAACCAGATATAATGGGAGAGGAAAGTGCGGCTCCTAACTTCGAAAATGTTTTAATAAAAGAAACCCCTGCTGAGACCTCTCCACAATTCAAAAACGTAAATATTTGTTTTGATTTTTTTAAAAAAACTTTAGATCTCGAGATATGTCAGTAAGATGTGCATCCTGACTCTGCACTGAAGCAGAGGCTGATCTGAATGAAATCTCTACGTTAACCGGGTTTTCTGTATATTTGGTTGTGTTTTTTGAGAAAACAATGAAATGTCGCTTTAGATATTAATACAATAGATGTGCAGAATGTTGTATAATTTCCATCATTATTGTAGCCACTTTGAGGGGAAATAACAAACCATTAACGGAAACAAAAGGCAAAGAATGTTGGAGAAACTCAGTAGGTCTGGCAGCACTTGTGTGGAAAAAGCAGAGTTGACGTTTTGGGTCCACTGTTCAGAAACAGTTCTGAAGAAGAGACACTGGACCCAAAACATTAACTCTGTTTTCTCCCCACAGAAGATGCCAGACCTGCTGAGTTGCTCCAGCAATTTCTTTTTATTTGTTTCAGATTTCCAGTATCCACAGTCCTTTTGTTTTATTTCACCATTGTATATGTGTCACGTTACATTTTTGGGCCAAGCTTTGGACATTCTGAGGGTGATATATCATTGTTAACTCAAACAGGGCAGCAAAAAAGCCATCAACTTCCACATCTCCTTCCCATGTACTGTTCAGAATGAAGTGATTTTTTTTTTTATAATGACAGTACTTAACTCCCCAGTGGAACTAAACAAGTCTGATTGCGGAACTGGTGAGTGGATTTCTTATTCTGGTTACACCTTGCTATGAACTCCTCTGACAATGTGTAAGATGTGGAGTTTGGTGAGGTACTGGTGCACTGCCCCAAATGACAGTATGAACTGACTATGTTGCAAGCATACTGTGCAACCAGTTCTGAACTGGTCTGGTATCAGTATAGATCCTAAATCACTTGCACATCTGTGGTACAATGAGGCAGAGAAACAGCCATTCACAGTTAAGTAAGCCACTGTCTAATAATAAATGTCAACTTGTCAAGCTGGTTCCTGGAAACGGCGACAGAATAGGTCTTCATATCCCCTTCCAACCTTCATCACCCTATGTTAAATTTATATTAAAATATCTCCTAGCTGTGTTAAAGTTTATCCAAATCTCTACTGCCTATTTCCCAATTTATACCAAATCCTGTTAACTCTCATCTCATCGGCGATCCCTCGCAGATGAGGATGACTCTCTTCCACTCTTGGGGTGAGTCCATAGGTGACTGTACAGACCAATGCAGCTTCCGCAGGCTGTGTTACACTTGGGGCAGGAGATGGTCATGGGAAGGGGTGGGTGGGGCGTTGGTGAGGCAGTGCGCTCCTTACACTGTTTTCGCCCGGCTTCCGCTTTTTCCCGACAACAAGTCTCAAGGTTCTCAAATTCTTCCCTTCCTGTCCACGTTGGATGGTCTTGGGCCAATGATTCCCAGATGTCTGTGAGAATGCCGCACTTTGCAGGTGAGGCCTTCAGGCTATCTCTGAAGCGCTTCCCTTGTCCACCTGGGGCTTGCCTGCGTTTCGGTGCTGGGAGTAGAGCATCTGCTTGGGGAGCCTCGTGCCAGTCACATGGACAACGTGCCCAGCCCATCACAGCCAAGGCTGGTCAGTGCCTCAATGCTGAGGATGTTGGTCTGGTCGAGGACGCTGGTATTGGTGCATCTATCTTCCTAATGGATTTGCAGGATCTTGAACAGGCAACATTGCAGGTACCGCTCCAGGGCCTAGAGGTGTCTGCTGCAGACAGTCCATGTCTCAGACCCATTTAGGAGGGTGGGAACCACCAGAGCTCTGTAAACCATGAGCATGGTGTCGGATCTGATATTGTTGTCCTTGAACACCCTTTTCCTCAGGTGGCCAAATGCTGCGCTAGCGCACTGGAGGTGGTGCTGGATCTTTTCATCAATATCTACTTTGGTTGACAGGACACTCTGATGGTATTGGAAGTGATCAATGTTTTCTAAGGGCTCCCCCTGAACCTTGGTGGTCGGACATTCACTCCACAATGCCAGGCCAGGTTGGTGGAGGACCTTCATCTTGCGGATGTTCAGGGTGAGACCCGTACTCTCATTTGCCTCTGTACAGGTGCTGATAATGGTCTGGAGTTTGACCTGCACATACACAAACATCATCTGCATATTGCAGCTCAATGATATTGCTTGGGGTGACTTTGGTTTTGGCTTGGAGGTGACGGAGGTTGAATAATTTCCCACTGGTTCTGTAGGTTAGCTCCACTCCAGTAGGGAGTTTGTTGGTGGTGAGGTTGGTGGTGATATTGCAGCGAGGTAGATCGGGAACAGTGTTGGGGTGATGCACAGTCTTGCTTGACACCGGTCCAAATAGGGAATGACTTCATGTCCTTGTAGAGTAGATGAAGGAAGGTGACAGACTTCATGGTGCAACCAAAGCGGAGAAGGACATCCCAATTGAGGCATTGAAGTGCGGAAGCAAAGAGCTCCTGCTGCAGCTACATGCCTTTGTCTGCTTTATCTGGAAGGCGGAGAGCATCCTAGCAGAGCTGAGAGAGAAACCCCAGCTTCTTGCTGTAACCAAGAGAGGGCAAAGATTGCTTCTACGTCTTCAAGCCCACAACAGCAACTGCTTAAAGCTAAACCTAAAAACTAAAGAAAGAAAGCCTGGTCTGTTAGGCCTCACAAGCTGTTTACCTTCTTAAAGACAGATTGGTACCTCTCATTCAATCTCTATAATAACAAGGGAAGAAAATAACTTCTTAAAGCCACAGCATCATAACAAGTAGAAGTCTTTTATAACACGGATATTGGTTTTAAAAAATTGATACCACATTCTACTTAGACCGCATTAATAAGAAAACTTCTAATTTTTCCTATATTAAACTATCAAAATGAAGATTTTAAGCAAAGATTTGTCTCTTTTGGGGATAGGGGCAATGAGCCCTGTACACTATAAACAAATGTACAGTACATTGAACTGCATAATAATTGATTTACCTTGAAAGAAATGAGATACAATGCAATAACAACAAGAATAAGAATAATGACATTTGTCTGCTTTAGGATGAAGAAACAAGTAAATTGACCATATGTAACAAGTTATCCTTTGGAATTGGAGGTGTTCCATATGAGATGGTTAGAAGTATTTTAGGATTCTTCCTGCAAATCTTTCTACTTGATGTTGCACAGGTATATATATGTGTTTAATAGTTGTTATAAGTACATTTATTTTAATCTTTTTGAGAGCTGTTATTTATATTTCACCATATATTAATTGAGCTGATTGAGTCTACCACTGCTACAATGTAACAATTATCAAATGCTCATCGCAGTGGGACATCTGGTGAGTTACATTTTCAACTTCAAAGTTTTGCAGGTATTGGTCTAGCATGCATGAGTAAATGGGTATGGCGAGAAGGTGGGTAGGTATGTTGAAGTAACTGCATAAGTCGATAGGTGGGTGGGATGGTTCAGTGGCAGGGCTAGCAAGGGAATGTGGTGAGTTGGTGAAGCAGCTGGTAAACAGGGTGGCAGATTGGTGAGGTGTTAGGTGGTAAGATGATAGGTGCATAAAGTGACAGGCAGGTAGGGTGTTAGGTGGTTAAGTGGCAAGCGATTTAGGGTGGCAGGTGGGTGAGCTGAAATGCCGGTGTTGCTGTGGGCAGAGGAGTGAGGGGTGGATCAGGGTAGTCTGGGGTAAACAATAGCACAGCCTTCTGTGTGTGTGGCTCTCTCTCTCTCTCTCTCTCTCTGTTTTTCTATACCTCTGGAACTTGTTTTCATTTTCAGCATGCTCATTTAGCTGAGAACCAGTCAACTTTACCTGGAAACAACTCCTCCACATCATTTCTTAATGTGAAATTACACAGCCATCCTTGTAAATCCTTCTTTCAAAACAGTTCTTCCTCTTTTAGTCCACAGATTTTAAAGACACAAAAAAAGTTCTTGCACTATCATGTAATCAAAGACTGTTGAACCTTTAACTTATTCCTTTATTTTCCTAGTTTAAATTAAGAAAGAGTTTAATGTTAACTATTACCTTATTTCTTTATTTTTTTATTTATTCTATGAAGTAATGCTTAACTTTTTAACTCTGCCTCTCTTACTACTTTGTTCCTAAGCTTTTGTACCTAGGTATCTTGGTACCTAAGATGGTGCCTTGTTTGGTGATATTATACACTTTTCACTGTACTCCTGTGCTTGAGTACATGTGACAATAAATATAATCTAAACCTGATATACCAAGGCAACTTTTGAGCTAGTTGACATACGTACATACATATAGCACCTTCTTGTGGATACAGAAATAATGTTGCATGAGTATTTTCCAAAATAAGTACACTGTTAATGAAATCTACTTACTTACTCGCGTAAAAACCGAAAGAACTGCGGATGCTGTAAATCGGGAACAAAAACAGAAGTTGCTGGAAAAGCTCAGCAGGTCTGGCAGCATCTG